ATTAATCCTGAAATAAATAAATTAGGCAATGTATATATAAATACATATAAATATAAATATAAAAATATAAAAATATAAAATATTTTTATTTAAAAAAGTATGTTCTTCAAATGACTCCTTTTATTTATTTGAGGGGACTTTGTCACATTTATTTCCCTCCTCTTTTTATCCTGCAGGGAAAACGTAAGCCAATGGGACAATTTTGGATTGTTAAAAATAAGCTTTGTCATGGACTGCAAAAAAAATTATCTTTGACGACAGCTAGGGCAGCAAGCTGCAAGGCTATCTGGGCTAACTAGCTAAAGGTAGCTACAGTTTGCAGCAGTTAGCGGTAACTTAATATTTTGTGAATCACCAAGAGTAGAGGCAGAGCAGGCTTTCAGGAGCCAAAAAGTGCAAAAAACCACCTCTGTCGGTTTCGGAGACTGAGTTCGGTCTAAAATGAGATAACCAAGCAATATTTATATTATTTCATTAGCATGTATATATATATTTTAATATTGACATAAATGACACTCCATATAGTTGTTACCTTTTGTTGTCTGAGAGTTAAGAAAGCTATTTCAATTGTTCGCTTTTGAAATATGTGATTATAAAAAGATTAGAAAAGATTTAAATGAAAACATTGATATATGATGTAATGATATAAATTTACCAAAATCCTCTGTGGAAACTCAGATAAAATGTTAAAATGAGTCATTAGTACAGAAATTACTGTTGTGTTTTTCTGCTGTGGAAAGCAGGAAGGAAAAAAGATTTATTTGATATTACAGCATTATCAGCTACAAAATGATATTAGCTTTTCTTGTTAAATACTCGATGAAACATTACGAGCACACAGTCAGATACAAAAAGTGAGCTCTAATGTTTGTGAGGAGTGAAGTCTCTACTGCAATCAATCTGATCCATTTTAATAAGAGCCAGACATATTTCTCATAAAAGCTTTTATATTTAAGAACGTCATTGAGCTTGATGCTTCAAAGTCAATATAAATAAACTGAATTAAAATCTAGACTTACCAGTTGGAAATAGGGTCGTCCAGCATTTTCGAAAGGCAGACAAGAATTTCCAATCCTACTGCTGTGACACATACAGCACCTAACAGACAAACAGCAGGTAAAAATGAGGCTGCTACAGTATCTGTCTGACTGCACTGTGGTTTGTGGTAAAGTGTGTCAGACAAGTGCACCAGGCCTTCTTCCGAATAGAAATCACACATGCTCTACAAAAAATACATGTGCAGACCATCAGCGCAACATTGTAAGATGAATGCTGCTGCTGCATATGCTGAATTTGACGAGCCTGCCGAAGGTGTTTTAAGTAGATGTAGATTCAACATGACAAATTATGGTTAACTTTGATTATTGTATACTGTCAACTGATTTTCTGTCTACTTACTGTTGCAATTATTGTAGCTCAGTTGAAACAGTTTCAGTTAATGTAAGGTTTTGATGTTTTTGATTATATAAAATAGAGTAGAAACACCTTTATAATAGGTCACACACAAATAAAAGCATTCCAGCGATGGGAAGATATTTACAGTATGATATATACAGATATTTATCTATAATAAAATATTTATTTTATTACCAACTGGTGGAACGCTTTCAGTGTGAAACAAAGGAAGTGTTGCGTTTGTGTTAACAGCAAGCAGAAGCAACAATGAACAAGCAGGAAATGGAAGCAAATAAAAATTAAATAAACAGGGATGTTATAATGTTATTAATGAAATAATATTAAATATAGTAATAAATAATATATTTAGATAACTAAATAATGCTAGCCATGCTCTCTTTTCAGTACAGGTGAACACATCTATTAAAGAAATGTTGAGTTAGAAAAAGGATTTGTGGGCTTCTCAAGCAATCATTATTCAAAATATGTGTTTAGAAACATCTAACTGGAGTAATTTAACATGCTAATACCTGGTTCCAGCAGGATCCACTTATGTTGTGATGATGCTATTACCGTTAATCTCACTTACTACGAAGAGACAGTAATGTAACATTTCCTCATTTGTGCAATCATGGTATCTATGACATCTGAGTAAAGTATATATTCTTAGAAGTATTACATCATTACTTATAAAGCTAAATGTGGTCTGCATACGTTTTCCTTAAAAAAATCATGATAACATGGGGCTTCTTGAGTTGACATGGTCGGGGGATATTTTATAATATTTTTGGATGGTCCCTGCTGTTCTTCTACTGCCTCAATTTCATTTGACTTCACTGCATTGTATAACCTCTGCCAACATTACATTTCATTTGAAATGTTTTTGTATTTTTTGTAATACATTTTTTTTTTTTACGTAGTCATGTTCATGAACGTAGCACATGCATACATCCATGATTAGTTACAAGCTAAACTGGATGGGGAAATAGTAAGAGGAGATAAAATGAATGGTTCAGAAACAATCATGGCTCCAAACAGGAACTATTAGGAAGAGAAGTGTGGACCAAGAGTACCCCTTTTCCACCAAACCCCAGCCCACCCAAAGCTGGGGTCTGCTCAAGGTCTGTACTGTCGCCAAGAGCTTGCTTGTGGTGGGAATTGTTGGGTTTCTGTAAATAATTTGATAAGGAGTGTGGTTTAGACCTGCTCTATTTGAAAAGTGTCCTGAGATAAGTTCTGTTAGGATTTGGCGCCATACAAATGAAACTGAAACTCATTGATCCAGAAAATACACTTATAAGGAATAAAGGTGTGTGAACTTCCTGTAGCTGAATATGGTCAGCCTACGCTACTCGTCATAATGGTACTTGGAGAGAATAATATTTTCTGAGGTGGTGTAAAAAGTTTGAGAAACACTGACGTAGGTGATCCCCTGATTGTTCCTCTAGTGCCATCACCAGTTCAATTTGTCCAGTACACTTGCTACTGCAGTTTTTTGTGTTTTATGCTAATAAGCAAAAGCTGAACTAATATGGTGAACATGGTAAACATAATATGACATGTACATAAACATCAGCATGTTCGAAACTGCAATTGAGAGCATATCAGCATCCCAGTGTTAGTTCCTGTATTTCTTAATACACCTGAAATAGGCCAGCTGGAAAAAACATTGTCTGATCCATTTCAAGCATTTTTTCCCCATCTTGTGTTAACTACAGGTGAAGGAAGAAAAGGGACAGCAATAAAAACAGCAGAATGCACCTTGGTTTTGGTTTCCCTATCATCACATCTGTGTCTGCATTCAGCCACCATCAGACGCGAGAATGGACCACCCTTACGTACCCACCATGGACACAACATTCTTAAAAGAAAATTCAATTATCCAGATGCAACAGACTCCAGTTCCTTGGCCAGCCAGGTAATATAGGCCCCAGAACTGCTGGTGCCTGCCCGATTCCCCGGTTCTGGCTCTCTTTTTCTATTCACAAAACCTCCCACATGTGATTTTCCCTTTTAAGAGCCACATTATCTCTGACTGTGCAGTAAGCCTATTCACCTTGTTGGCAGTTTGCAAAACATTTCACATAGCCTTTCAGTGAACAATACTCTTTGTGAGCAGGCTGTTTTTATTATTGTATTGTGTATTTGTTGTCTTTGGTAATGTACATTGTAGGTTACTTTGTGAGCCAGACGGTCGATTATTGTCATTTATTCTGTATGAGTCCAACCTTAACCATTTTCGTTCATGTCTTGAAAGTGGAATGGAGAATGGAAACCGATCAACCACAACCACATCTCATCACATCTGTGGGACCTACAGACGTGGACTGAAAATCACTTGTACTTCCCTACATGCTTTTGTCTGACAAGCAGTCAGTCCAGACACCCACTGGTGTCATTTGTTTTTGCACACATTTTTTGTCTCATTAAACAGATCTAAATTGGAACCACCTCACCTTTATGAGTGCTATGGAACCTGGTAACTAGGATAAATTTGTTGTCACCATGTTTCTATATTCATTATGTATAACTTTTTTTTTATTAAGTGTTGTTAAGTGTAACCGCAAAAGGCTCTGCAGCTGGTATTTGTTTTTGTCCGCTCTGGGCTACTGTAGAAACATGGCAGCTTAACATAGCAGACTCTGAAGAGGATCCACTCCCTATGTAGATAAAAACGGCTCATTCTTAGGGAACAAAAACAAAATTCTTATTTTCCGGTGATTATACACTAATGAAAACATACCTATGAATATTATATATCAATTTCTCTATAATCTTAAAAACCGGACCTTTAAAGAAATAATGCAACATTTTGGGAAATCCGTTCGCATGCTCACTTTTTGATTCTGAGAGTTAGGTGTGAACTTCAATACCACTGTCACGAATATAAATCTGGGAGCTATGGCATAGGTGATTAGCCTAGCTTACTCGAAGACTGGAACCAGGGGAAAACAATTTATATTTGTATAAAAACTAAACTGTTGAGATACAATGAGTTAATTAGTGGATTTTAGAGGAGATGGTAGGCATATTTTTGAGCTTTTTGTTCAACGAGAAATGCCTACTGTTGTCTGAAAACTGAAGCATGGGTGAGAAAATGCGAGTTGAGCAGTTCAGCAGAAGCACATAGCAGCAGCTGTTCTGTCAATCACTCTGGTCTTTATTGAGGCCACGCCCCTAAAGTGTCCTTTGCAGGTATCTGATGCTAGAAAGAGGGAGCTAACAGAACTGAAGAGCATAGTTTCACTTTCAACACTTAGGCATTATTAGGAAATCCAGATGACTGTTGGTGAAGAGGAAGTGGGTTGGGAAAGAGCTGGAACATTGAGTGTGTGTGGAGAATTACAGATGAGAAAGATGACCTTGCAGAAAATCTGCAAGAAACATAAAATTAAAACAGACATGGAGAAATTGGGGAAAAAGCAGAGGAAATAAGAAATAACAGTTAGGTCAGACGACAGGCATCCAAAATGTACAAAACAACTCATATGATTTTTATTTGCTCTCAGTTAAATTATTTCAACCAATATATCCAAAGAATAGTCAAAGAAATCAGAAATCAAAAGACAACCACTATACTGTATATTGCCATTGAATATAACAACTCAAATAATTAATTATTGTATCAAACAATCTCAAATATCCAGAATTCATTGGTTCTAATAAGACAATGACAGTACCTTTGTGTAAATTCAAAACATTATTCACTTTGCTTAAATATTATGGTAATAATCTTGGTTTCTTAAAGCTCACAAAGAATAATGTGGTCTGGTTCAACTTGGAGTCCGGCTTTTATGCAGTGAAGCCCCCTTCGGCTGACTGGTAGTGGTCTCGATTCCAGAGTGACAGGCTCAGAACATCAGTCCGTTAACAGGGTTGTACTGCCATGAGCATCCATCCATCCATGTATCTATCTATCTATCATCCATCCATCCATCCATTCCATCCATCCACTGATGAAAATAGGAACTGAATGAAAGCAAAAAGGGGGTCTGGTCTCACACACTTAATCTGGGTGTTAACAAAAATTGCAGGGAACAAATCACTGTCATGTATAGGTCTATGCAAGTTATGGAAGCTGTACAGAGATTATTGTAACAAACAAACATTAAGAACAAAGCCTGGCAAAAAAAAAATCACCAACCTTCTAAGAGGATAAAACTCTTGAATAAAACAAAACAAAATAAATAATAAAAACATGTTTTTGGAGGGACACCTCCTTTTTTCCCTTTATCAGTTTTTATCATTACTTCATGGCCCGACAGAAAACAAATATACTGTATCAACATAAGACGTTTATTCTCCTCCATATTAAAAGAGGCTGCGAGAAATGATTCTGTCATTTACTCTTTTATCTATGTTTATTTGATTATTTTTTTTATCTAAATGGGTGGTCATGCAAATAGAAAAAGCCAAGTCCTTTATGCTTTCAGCTTGATGGTAAAAGTTGGTAGGTCAACTCTTGGCCAGTCCACCTCTTGATGAGTTGACTAGTTGCTGATTACTGGGTTACAAGGTGATGAGCTGGCTGGTTTGCAGTCTCATGGTGCCTTTTAGCATCCTCCTAGCTCAATAAGTAACTAACCTTTTAGTCAGCTAGTTTTAACAACTAGCTATGTTTCCATATACACCAGCGAACTGTGCTTTCTCAGTAATTAGGTTTAGCAATTGCTTTATGCATCACTTCTTTTCGTCTATCTATTCTTGCTGGAATCCATTTATTTTATGTCAACCATTTTAGCTTCTAAGAGCCAAACCAGGTAGCTAGCTAGCTAGCCACCAATTGTATTTCAAGAGGTTGACTTGTTGTTTTAAGGTGAACTGGTATTCCAAAATCATTGCTTGAAGTCTGCCTTGTTTATTGATAAGCCACCTAGTCAACAGGTTGATTATGAGAACTCAGATCGACTGGCATTCTGAGATTACGCTACTTTTGTTTTTCAGTCGACCAATATTTCCGAGTAGTTAAGCTTACCAATCAACTGGTTTTCCAGCTGGTGTGTGAGCAGACTTACGAGATACTCCAAGGTCCAAATCCGTAGCTTGTTCAACGAATTAAAAACAACTCCTGTCTGTGGATACCTACTCATTGTTTAAGTACCGTGGACCTTTCACTGACTTTTCCAGTTCATTACATCCATATGTCCATACTTGTCTACAAACTCTCTGCACCAGTCAAATGCGTGTGACCAGTCGTGTTGTGTAAGAGGGCTCCTTTCCAATGGTCATGGCCACACACCTTACATATCAGGTTGTATCAGTCTGTAACCAGTTGGTAGGTCCAAAACCAGTGTACAATCAGTATTGGAATCTGTCTGTGAGCAGTCTGCAGCCAGTATACTCAACCAATGTGAATCCAAGGCTTATACAGTCTTCAAGCAGTCCTTTGTTCACACAATGGGATAAAGTGGCCCAAAACATGTCTGCAGGCAGTCCTGGTAGCCAAGGCTGTACACGGTCCAAAAAACCCAATGAAAACCAGTTGACCAACCAGCCTATCCCATGTCCGAAGCCAGTGTAAAAGCAGTCTGTAAACCGGACTGTTATCCAGTACCAGTTGAGCAGTCCTTCTACCAGATGTCAGAGCTTAGTTCTCTGCTGGTGAGCGGTACGAAGGTGCTGTTCAGGTGGAGTTCTGGCTTCTTCCCAAGCGTACTGCTCTGAGGCCCCTGGAAAAAACACAGCACGGTGATTAGCAAGAATCTTCCCCACATGACAACTCCTAGCCAAAATCTACAATTAAAAAGGGAAAACAGGGACTGCATTCTACAGTATATACAGTACTACTGCATGCCAATAGTGCACCATGCCTCATATATAAAAACTATACTGCATATGAAAGCTATTTCCCAGTCTGTTTAAATAAATAAAAAATTTAGGCTGGATAATATGAAGATACTATTTTCTTTCTACATTTTCTTCTATCCAAACAGACCTCTTGTTCCCCAGTGAACTGCTCTGAACCCCTGGGGAGAAAAGAGGGGTTTTATTTTTAATGCGTTTAAACTCTGAGAACATGCACATAAACAACAGTATGGAAATTCAAGAAAAGGATACACTGTGTAGATGTTGGATGCTAGAAACTAACAAGGAACTGCAAAAAAACATAAAATAAGTGGCGCTGTCTTTTCTCCCACCTGTCCATTCAGCAGTGTCATAGGGATGTTGCAATAGACGTGGCGCCCCCCGGGACCCAGAGTGGAGAACTGCACGGTGGAAGGCGGTGGGAGGGGAGGTGACAGGGAGGAAGGCTGTGGAGGAAGCTGGAATTCGTAGCTACGGCAGAAATGTCTCATTTGGGCTGCTGTAGCAGTGTGACCACCACCCAGCGGCAAGGTCATCTGGTTGTAGTCGGGGATCTCTGTCGCCAAGGCAACCTGGGGTGAGAGAACATGACTTCTTGCTAACTTTTATCACCTCAAGTATTATTTCGAGTGGCAGTTCAACCCTATAGCTGCACTAGGGCCTGCGGGGTGGGGGTGTTTTCAGATTGGCTGCCAACCTGTTAAAATCTGTTGCGTGAGTCAAGTCAGCACTTGACTAGCGTGTATGTTTTAAGGTGAACCGAATTATTTATTAGCAATACATTTGGTCCTCCAATCGTATGGAGAAATCTTTGGCCCATAATATTCTGTGTTGTCTGTGCCTGCCACACATCATTGCAATTATTTTGCTTTAAACTGTGGTCACAGCTAAGGCCTAAAATCCTATAGCCTACCACACCCATGTTATACACATCACGGTACAATATAATAACGAAATGCTCATGTTCTACAGCTTTAAAATAGGTTATTTACAATATTGCTGTAAATTATATAAGTTAGTGTAATGTTGTGCCCTCCTTGCATAGTAGCGTGAAAGATTGACCTATACAATCTATATCTGTGTATATGTCATTACTACCTAACACCACTAGATTAAACACCACTGAGTAATAACATCCGTTTGAAGTAATACACATGCAACAGCTGACCTGATGATGTCCATGCCGACTATCATTAGGGGGCGCCAGGGAGGCTGAAGTGGTTGTCATGGCAATGGTGGAGACGGTGGTCTGTAGGTCACCAAAGAGGCCCTGTTCACCGGAGTCCATCACCTGTTAACACAGAAACACAATTATACAGCGTTCACTGTGCAGATTCATACAAATGTTTGAGTAGTGATACTCTATGTTTTTCTTCTCTTCTCTTATCCAACGGACAAGTGTTTTCTTTGTAGACAGAGCCATATATCTTAAACCTCTCTGTGCCATAGAGCTACACTGTTGACCAAAAGCTATTAAAAACATCAATGAGCCACAGTGCACTGGGTGACATGTTCCTTCAGACATTATCTCATACACCGTCCGGCTGCTGTAAATACTCACTGGAGCACCAAATGTGTATTAATCTGCTGCTGAAAATAACAAAAATATTATTTACTATTGTTTGAGTAAGATTTAATAAAAACTACAGTGTTAGAAAATTATTCAGACTTAAAACTTAATAGAATAGAAGACTTAATAGAACTATGCATCTGTTTATATACAGTAGATATCATATATAGATTCCTATTATTATATACTATCACATGTGTAAGTTTTTGGATTGATACACAGCTCGAAAAAAATCAGAATGCCACCTTATAGCCTTATCCTTTAATTGGATTGAGATAATATGAGTGAGGTTCACGTTCACTGTGCAGGATTTTATTATTATACTATATTTTTTCAAGTTAGTCTTAAAACACATTTCATTTAAAGTGCAATAGTTGCCTGAGATGTATTATGTGTATAGTATGTTCAAAGAAAATAGCGTTGACAGTGATATGACTAAAGCTTCAATTACTGACTGAAACAAAAAGAGGGCTGATTTATAGCCTTTGTTTCCTTTGTCCTGAACCATTTTGCTAAAGTTCACTTTGTTGCATTTATGTATTTGGTTTATCTAGGTTATCACTGTCCAATTTTAAGTAAACTAGGACAGGTAAACAAAAGTAACATGGATTTAGGCCCGCCATAAAATGTCATCCTCCAAGGTTGGGGATGTTGGTGGTGGTGAGGGGTCATAACACACCTGATTGCCATTCAGTCTATGTTACTGAGCATGATGGATGGCTTAGATTCTTCAGCGTTCTTGTGCAATTTTTCAAAAAGTTAGGAAGTGTGTTCCTTGGCCCATAAATTGAAGAGGCATTTCACCCTTTCTTGGCTTCATTGTGCTATATCAGGCTTTCTAAGCATGAATAACTGCAGACTATCAGATGCCAATGTCTATCCACTTAAACTCAGAAAGGCCTGAAATTTGGGGTTGTTTTATGTGTGGTGTTTTTTTGGCACTTTGTCAGTTTGTTCTCAGCTGGCCTAACGAATAAAACTAAAGCGGTAAACATTACAAAGTTTGACTGATCTGTTCTATACATAAAGAATATATACTCTTATTTCACTGTTAAACTGAAATCACATAATAAGTAGCAAAATAAACACCCAAAACGGCAAATTTTCATTCGATAATACTCTTATTATCATTGTCAAAATTGTACTACATGAATTGTTAAGGCACTGAAGGACATTAAGATGATACTCTCCCATCTGTTACAGTTACAGTTATCTCTATATTTGTTTGTCAATTATTATTCTTCAGTACCAAGCAGCATGACAACATCTCTTTGCTAATCAGGTCACACACCACCTGAGGTGTTAACACATGGTAAACGCATACACATTTCTCCCCACTGTGATTCAGATTTTCATACATTACCTGTATTTAGCAGACATTTCAAAGGCCATCTGGTTGTTGTGAATGTATGCACCTCGGGGGAGCATAAGTAAATATGCAGACTAAATTTCCAATGCATTTGTTCTCACTCACAGACACTATACCAGTGGTTTTCAACCTTTTTCCTAAGGGACCCCTTTGCTATCATTAAATAAACTGACAGCCCCAGACTATATTTTATATTCTACTTAATGCATAACAGTACAGATCAACTAATAAACTGTACAATTAAACCAAACATTGAACACAATAACTGCAGGAAGTCTGTGTAAAATGAGAAATTTGGATGGATATTGAGCAGATAATTTCTTGTGAATTTTGCATCAGAGAGGAATTTTCCTGATATTTCAAGGGACCTTTTATAAATTTCTCTGTGTGTATTATGTATTTTTGTGTTTACATACTTAGGCTTTTTTTTAGGCTTTCTCATTGTTCTATTAGGTTTTTTTTTTGCTGATTTACTTTTTCTTTTACTTTTCTAATGCAGAACAAGGCTGTTTGGCAGAGTGAAGGCTTCATGCAGTTCATGTTCAGGTCTTCACTGTGCCCTTATCCTGTTTATATCTTAAATAATAATCTAAACGTTTTTCTTCACAGAAATTAGGTTGGGAACCATTCTTCACTATATTGAATGTATGACCCATGAGTAGATGGAAAAATATTTCATTATTCTTTCAGACAGGCAAATTTAATCTGTTTTATGCATAAATAAATAAATAATAATAAATAAAAAAACTTCACCTATTATTATTATTATTATGGCATTTCTTTCGGTAGCTAATGTTAAGGTTTGTGGTTTTGCTCAAACAAACAGTGCCATGACTGTGGAAAACCTAATGGCAGTGTACCTGGCGTCTGGACAGTGTCTCTCTGCGTTTAGCAGGCATCTCATAGACCACCTGTTTCCAAAACTTAGATGACAGCTCATTGCTCTTTGGACCCCTCCACTTGATGATGGATAAAACCTGCAGGGAGGAGAAGATATTTTTTTCGTTATTGCTTTAGTCTCCTGCTGTCTAATGTCACCCTTCAGATTACACCCTTCTTCCCTCCCTCCTTTTATTCATCACTCTCTCTGCATACCTTGATTGTATGCTTAAGTGCTTCCACCTCTTGGTAGTTGATGACATTCTTCAGGTCTGCACACTCTATCATGATCACCTGGACACACAGAGATGCACAGGTAGAGGTGTTTAATTGTGATGAAGCCAGAAAAGCTGAGGACACATTATATTTATCGTTTTACTTCCCAGATCATACCTTGATCTCCCCAGTCACCAGCATGGAGTGCAGGCGTGTCTCTATCTGGAAGATGCTCCACCCTCTTTTGGCGACAAACTCTGGAGTCAGAACGATAATCAGACGTCTGCTCTGTTCCACGCTACGAGCCAAGTCCTCAATGTAGGCTGGGAGACATAGACATGGGGACCAAGTTAAAGCTAAAAAGAGCAGGAAGAAAGTTAGAGAGAGATGTCGTTCAGAATGAAGAGAGTAAAAGTAAAAGTGTCCTCGTTTTTCTTTACATCAACTTAGTGTCTCTGTGTTAAGAATGTTGTTAAGCTAGCAAAAAAGCAAAGGGGGAAGCTAGCCAGATCTGTCTAGACTGAAAAAATAGTATTGTCTGATTTGTTTAACCTGTACATACAAGTAAAATGTATTTGCATTTGCAGCTATAAAGGTAATTGTGTACTAAAACTATTTCCTGCCAGACAACAGCTGGGTGCAGTGGACTGTCGCTTCCTCATGTGTCAAACTATTACACATAATGCAAATACATTAATATAACATCCAATATTTTACCAGCTTTGCTTGGTGGCTGTAGCTGGTAGGCTTAAACTTTGGCAATGGTCTAACTAGCTGTTTCCCCCTGTTTCAAGTCTTTATGCTAAGCTAGGCTAATCCCCTCATATAAATAATGCAGTCTGAAGTGTGAAATCGATTACTTTTTCTCAAAAATAAGAAAATAAAAGAGTTAGAGAAAAAGTGTTTTAATGATTACTGATTACATGAAAATAGCTTCAAACGATGGAAGAAGAGGGATTATGTAGGAAAAACCTCCCTATATACTATTAGTCTTCTTTTTGCTGGTAGCATCTTTCAGCTCATTTTGTTCATAAATGACTGGAATGACTGACAGGAGTATATAGTAGAGTGACAGAAATGCTTGTGCAAGACTTTTGGCTCTGACACAGTGCAGTGAAGTCAGCTCTTAAATGGGGATCAGAGTTGTGCTGATACACCACCATCAGCTTTTACTTGGGGAAAATGTGAACTTGAGATGTGAAAAGTGAACGAATCTGAGGAAGAGATGTGTCAATATATGAGTCAATATTCACCACAGCTCTAAAATGCTTCTTCTTTATCCTTACTGTGGTGCTGTTGCTTCAAACCGAAACTTATCTTCTCAAACTGTCTCATTTTCAATTATATGTTTTTTTTTCGTTTTTTTTGGAACACGCGACACTGAAAGTGCTCATTATTTCTCAAATTTGTAGTTACTGAAAATGTATGTGGGTTCTCTCTCTGTATGACTTCACCATCTCTTCACTTGCTAACTAAATTAATGACAGAGACTCTCCAGCAACACATTGCAATTTCACGCTCAATTTGAGGGGCACAAATAGTACAGAACATCTCAAAATTCTGTCCCTTTATTTCTTTCACCGGTTTAATTTTCCATCTCTCTCTTTATCTTTTGCTCTTTCTTTCCTCACACTTAACCTCCTCTCTTATCTCCTGCCCTTCCCTTCCTCTTCCTACTCTCTATTTTTTAGGATTATGTAAATCAATTAATGAAATAACACAAACCAATGACCCCGTCCCCACCTCTTTCTGTCCCCGTTGTTTATTTCTCGCTCTCTTGTTAATTTCGGAGGGCTAATGGAGTGGATAATTGAATGGTGTATTTTAGGTCGCATCGCAGTGTTGTACTGACAATGGCTTCGGTTAGCAATGACAAGGCACCTCTCTCTGTCTCTGTGATTCACTCATTCAGTGTGTTTTTCACACTACGTAACCTTTAGTTCATAGGCAGCTTAGAGCTATGTGTGTAGTTATGCACAGTGGACATTTGTTTTTAGGATGTTTTCAGGGCACAGAGAGGAAGCCTCATTTTTGGAGGAAATATGACTTTCTAATCTGTTTTCAGGAGGCGGTGTCGTGTGTGTTTGTCTTGAGTGCGTGTTTGGAGGAGGCATATTTTTGGCTAAGGGCAAACTATGTAGAGCAGGGCAATTCATTATGAGCCTTAAATAAGTGAATTTGTTTATGCATTTTAGGAGAAAATGTTAAATGCAAATGCAAATAACACACATTAATTTGTTACTTTCTAGCCACATTATAGAGTTATTTGAGTGTCTACATTTGTTTTTATGAAGTTTTTTGGACAAGTTGAAATGTTATTTTGGTCCTGAAACGGGATAATGACTTGATTTTTTTATTTAATGCAGTAGTTTGACACTTCAGTGTTTTTAAAATGAAGTTGGGAAGTCTTTTACAGCAAGACAGCATTTGCATGTAGAATATAATTACTGTGTGTCGGCTGAATATGAAGTCAGACAAGAAACATGGCAGAGCATACCGTACTATGGGAAGTGGCCTGATTTTATACATTTTCTTTTGGCTTTCAGCTAACAAAGAGAAAATAAAATGTTTAGTTTTATTCTGGCTTTAACTTTATCAGAGCTTGATCGATAAAAATAGCTGCTCTGGGTAAACACAGGGTTGATGAGAGCAATGACACTGAATCATATGTGCAAGGTCACAACCAAAACAATGAGCTGAAAGATACTAAAACGCTCTGTAGAACTGAGGGACACTGGAGAGTCACCTTCAATTGTTATTACAAGAATACTGATCATTTGATTATTTTAGCTTTAATGATCTCCCCTGTACAAATAACCAAGAAAGCCAGCGTATGTGCAGGCACACGTCCCAGACAGGGACACGTGAACATTTAATGCATGTGTAAGAATGTGCCTTTGTGTTTGTGAGAATTTCACTTGTGTGTTTATTGGTTAACAGTTGTATGAAACAGATGAACCTCACTACATTTCAATCTAAAAGCTCCATTCACTGTCCCTGCAGCTAGCAAGGCCAGAGATGAGCTTAACATTGATGGATGTGTGTGGATGTGTGTGTGTGTGTCTACTGACAATACTGACAAATCTGCACATTACGCCCCCTCCCACCACACATACACACACACACACACACACACTTCTGATTGCATGTATAGCCACAATACCCTGCAAAATTGTCCTGATTGTTTTGTCACAATTAAATTATTTGAGTGTTGAGTGTGCCTTTTGAGAGTGTAAAAAATTGTGATTCTAAGCATCTGTTGGCAACAGCTGCAATATATACTGCAATCCACATACTGTCACCGTCGAGAGGAAACTAACCTTGCACTGTTTATTTTAGTATATTAGTCAAATGAAGCAGGTTAGATAGACAAACACATGGCTGGTGTGTGTGTGTGTTTAGTGCACGGCAGTAAGAGTTATGTTTTCTGCCTTTCTGTGCTTGTCTGTAATGGAGGTCTGTGTGCACCGGTGTGTGTGTGTCAGGTCAGAGCATTGACAGATAACAGCAATAACCATCATATTCCCCCCTCCAGTTGGACAGAGAGTGACACATAACCCCAGAAATGATGACAAACGGTGTGTGTTTTTGTGTGTGTGTATTGCGCAACAACTGGGTTGTGCAGTGCATGTGACCGATCGTGTGTCTGAAGTGATATCTAGACAGGATCTGCAGACTCTTCCTGTTTTAGTTTCAAGACGTGTTGGAAACTTTTAGTTGTATACTGCTGTGGTTTTTGCGGAGTGTGTTTAGAAGATCTGTCTAAAGAGTGCCATTATGCATTCTGGGTACTGAGGGCTATACTAAGAGAGAGATAAAGGATGTGTGTGTGTGTTGGTGTGTGTGTTGGCGGGATTGGGTAATTAAGGTAGAGAGATAGATGGATACTTACTGCTGCTAGGTATTAGATCTCTGTCTGGTATGAACAGCTTGTATCCATAATGTTTCTCTAAAACGTCCGGTAGGATCTCCAAAGCAAATGTTTCCTCATCACTGCTCGTCCTGCTGGGGAAGGGAATAACAATTATGGCTCCAGATTCAAAATCAACTGCAAAACAGTCTGTTAAATGAGCACCTGGTGGTGGCTGCAAATGCCTTTAAGGTGTTAACAGTTGAAAATAAACTAATGTGACATCATTAAGCTGGATGTGATGGGCTTCTTGTTACTGAGCTTGGATTAAAGTCAACAAAGATCAGTTAATATAGCTTTTACTGTGAAGCAGCTGTAAGAAACAATGATATAGCTTACTTTAGTTTTGTTTTTAAAGGAGGGAAATAAAAAGATTGATACCAATTTTGTATCATTAAAGGTGCAATATGTAAGAACTGAGACTACTCTCCACCTGTCACATGCCAGCGTCAAACAGGAGAGGAGTGAGGAGGAGGTCAGACAGCATACAGACTAAGGAAGCTAAGAGAACTTGTGTAACGTAGCGAACTCGCCACTCGCCAAGCTAGCTGGTTAGCATGCTAATTTCACTAGATTTCTCTGCAATTCTTTGACATCTTTGACATAAAGTCAGAACTTTTATTTCTTCACATTCTGTTGATCATTTTAATATTTTTTTTAATTTTCAAATTCTTACATATTGTATAAGTATGGAGTTAGAGTAGAGAGGTCATTAGCTTTAGTCAGCATACAGACTGGAAACACTTTGACACAGCTAGCCTGTTCACCACTAAAGTTAACACATTTTAATATTTATTAAATCTGTACACAGAAACAGAGCTGTAAAATAGACGATGTGGGATTTTAGGGGGAGTTAGCTGGTAACTATTCCTTGATAAGCTGCAGTTATTCATCCTCAGGTTACACTGTAGCGTCTCTGGCTACAGCCTGAGCTGCCAGAGGTCTGTGTACAGACACAATGTTACCAAACTTGGCAGTCTCGCTGTAATGACACGACTCTGGATGCTGCATAAAACCATTGTACCAGACTGTTGTTTGCCAAGAAATAGTTCCAGCAATTAACGTGGTCTAAAACCACAAAAGGTGTTTTTTACATCTCTATTTGTGTACATATTTTAACAATATCAATTACAACGTGTTAATTAGTCAGCTTTAGAGGTGCTGGTAGGCATACTTTGTCACTTTAGAGAGAGCCAGGCTTGCTGTTTTTATGCTAACTAATGCTAACCACGCCATGATTCCAGCTCTATACTTAACGCACAGAAAGGAAATTGGTATCAATCTTCTCATCTCACTCTCAGAAAGAAAGTGAAATACTTTATTTCCCAAATTGTTGAACTTCTACTTTAAGCAAGGGTTTTAAATCTACATTTAATAAGCCTTTAATGTCCAACAAACATGGGCAATGTTATCAAGTCCTTTCATACTGTGGTCACTGTGTGTAACTAGTGTTTATAGCATGATAAGAAAGCATTGTTTAATACATTAACATGTGTTCAGATGTAACCGACCTGCCCAGAGAGTCTAGGTCCACTTTAGTGTAAGACAGATAGGCATCATACTCCTTATTATCTGTGAAGAGAGAGACAGTGAGACGGACTGAGTTGAAACATAAGTAGACATCTCTTTGACTTATTTTGCCCACCACCCATAAACTCACTGGGCTGAAAATACAAATTAGATCGTATATTTGTTACTGTATTTAAGAATGCACTTTTTCTCAAATGTTGTGATTCTTTTGCATTATTTGTGCGGGGTAAATATGTTAAGGCCATGGCACACCAATCAAACATTCTCTAACAAACACAGGTGTTTGTTTGGTGTGCCATAGCTGTCCTTCCTTGTCTCGAATTTTTTGGAGATCTTTGGTCAGTTTGTTCAATCTGTGTTTGTCCGTGTTTCATGAATTTTGATCAGCTGGCCATGCTTTCAAATAGACAGTTACGCCGACAGCACACATATAGCACATGAGATGAAAAGCTCCTTTCTGCTGTCTTCGTAATAATATGATGCCAATATTGTGTTTTAGAACAAGGACTGTTTCTAAATTACAGTACATATTTTATTCACTCTCCATTTTGAGGACAGTTTTTAAGTCAGCTCTTTGAACTGTTAAGTCTGGTCTATTGTTTTGTTTGAATTTGTTATATTGGTGTGCCACGTGCAGTTAGCTTAGACAACTTAGACAACTGCCAACTTCAGAGTGTTCCCTCTGTTGGAGCATGTTTGATTGGTGTGCCAGTGGTCTCTCTTTAAGCAATGGATCAGAAACCGACCACCTCGTGAATGCTGATATTTTCTGATCAATCCTACATGTGGTCTTGATGAGAATAGAGGGAATCGGTAGTTTCGGGGCTTGAGATCTTGGGAATACCCTGCTAAGGAAAGCAGGCTGAGTTAGGGCTTTAATTTGAAATCAATACTTTGAATCAATTCTACAAAATGACACCTTTGTCATTTTCTTTCTTCAATTTTTTATTGTTTTCTTTAAGCAACTGCTACCAATTGCTTATATTGCTCGTCAATATTTACTTTTAACAAATGCTGTGAAAAATGAAGCTAATCATTGTCCCGTCAATTGATGACAATCCCAAAAAGAAAAGAAAATTTCACCGAGTCAATTGAGAAAACAAATGCTTTTTTGTTATTTGCTTTCTTTGACTTAAGTTGACTTGATTGAGTGTAATTATATCTTTTGTGCTTTTTATTGCTTCTTATGGCAACATGAAAACTTTACTTTCAACTGTATGCCCACCACTGTGCTTTTGCTGCTTTCTTCCATGTTTGTAGTTCTCTGCCCTTCCTGGTGCAATACGATTGTTAATATAAGGTCTGGTTCTGTGGTGAGTTGCCTGTCCGGACACTGCTGTTGTCCTTAAGTGAAAGTGGGTGCACGAAAAGGCTTACCATCTTCAGTTTCATCACTCCCAAAGTGTCTCCTGTAGCAAAGCATGATCTCCAGGTTGTAACACTTATAAAGTGCCGTCAGGACTCCCAGCAGCAACAATATGACCCCCAGACCACCCGCCAGCTCCAGACGATACATATCTGCAGTTAGACAAATAGCAAGGGAGACGGTGGAAAAGAAACAAATGAGATTTATATCAGTTATTGTTTAAAGTATCACTGACGGTGAGGTAAAAAAAGAAAATAATCAAACATTTTCTCCAATATGTCAGACTTTAAGCACTGTATGACTCAGCTTTGTTTCTGTTGATTTTCTTCTGTGCTTTCTTTTTACAAACTGGCTTGCTCACATCTGAGTGTATGAAGTTAATCTGAAACAATCTGACTTCAGGAAATATAAAAAGTGAAAACTTAAATTACCTTCAGATTGATTGAAGTCATTCTTACACAAATAAACATTCAGAGAAACCGTTGTTGCCGACGTTATTTTTTGATGAATCACAGCTGTACTAAGAAGCTCTGTTAACAGTATGTCTAACATTCCTGCCAATAAAGCATACAAAATTGACTGAGACACAAAAAAGGCAAACACACACACACACACTGAAATAGGCGTGTAAGATATGTTAACATGACTGTTGAGAGCAAATTAATAAGAAGCTAATTATTAATGTTTATTTGCTTCACTTACGAATCTAGAAATTCACTTTGGACTCAGACTCTTCTAAAGAGAGAAGGAGGCAGAAGTCAGAGGCTGAATGAATATCACAGTTAAACATTCAATTAAAGCTCCATTAGGCACAATTTCAATGTCAACATTGAAAGAAATGACTCCCTATATGTGTAAGGGTTGCTTTAACAAATTCAGTGCCAAATTCAGCTATGAATTACTAGACCACTCTGCAGCAAATTCCTTGCTTTGGTTCATCGGCCTACATAGTTGAGCCAAAGTCAAAGTTGAACATTTAACAAGGCCAAAGAAGGTCTAATGTTTTACTGTTAAGTTTGCATTGAATACAGGACTTACATTCAACGGATGGCAAAAAGAGGACGTTTGAGATACCCATGTTTCTCTGTTTCTGCTGGATACGCAAGTAAAGCAGGCAAATTGTATGCCGGCTTATTAGCCCAAAGAACTTCTCAAGTTTATTTCAGAAAATAAATCATTGATTTGAGTTTGTTTTGCAGTTTTTCTGCACTCCCATCCTGGGGCTGTCCATTTCTGCTAAAGCAAACTTTAAAGATCCTCCCAGAAATGTGTTCAGAAATATATACAAATAATCTGCTAGGAACAATAATGTGTGTCTGATATGGAAAGTGTAATTTCCACATGAAAAGGCATCCACTCCTTCTACCTCATTAAATATTTCCAGAATCTATGAATATGCAAATTTGTTCATTTCTATGGTTTTCCCGCTGGACACAAGATGTCTCCTACTTCACTGTTAAGTCCATTCTCAGTCTATGTGCACTGGTGGAATCAGGTTTTTACATCCCACTTAGTTGCAAATTGGACCAGGAGGCACAGAGCCACAAGAGGCAACAATGAGGCTGTTCTGGCTACACAGAAAAACATACTTGGACAAGCCACACAAATGTAAGATTTATGCTTTTTTGGAAGTGTTTTCTTTACCTCATCTCTAATAAAGAGCAGCACACAGCCGCAATTGTCTCACACAGTGAATGAGACAGCTACAGACAGGGCTGATATGACTGAATTTTATATTTTGTTGAGATTTATTGATGATGCTTTTGATGTACCAAGTGTTTGGTGGTAACTTTGGTATCTTATGGTGTAAGTTAAGTTCACAAAATCAAACTGCAATTGACAATAATCGACAAACCGCCTGTGTATATCTGTATTTTACAGACCTGCAGATTATAAATTGGCAAAACACACAGCCTCAACACAAAGTAAGTTGCCTCGACTGAGAGAGACAGATGACCTCACGTCAACATGTTAGACACAAACACACACACACAGACACACAACCACACACACACACACATACATGATCTCAGATTTTTTGTGTGAGTATGAATGATAGTGCTATCATAGGCAATATGAGTGTATGGGAGATTAATGGAACATGGCTGGTGAATGACACCATGGGAAATATGATCTATTACCATCTCACTCTCACACACACACACACACACACACACACACACATGCACACATGCCAACTTAACTTTTCCTGCAACCACTTCATTTTAAAACTAGTGTTTATTGATTTCCTAAGTCATGGCAGTTTGATTTCAAAGTGCTTTTTATGTATAATACATGACATGCATTAGATACATAATCTTGTCTGATTATCAATGCAGCAAGATCTGAGGGTTGCAGAATTATTGATATCTTCTGAATATTATGTTGTATTGTGTGTATTTTACTACATTTTATTTTTGTATTATTTCTAATTGTCTAATTTTCTGTGCCTGATTGCAGTTCTGAAATGCTTTAATCCTGGTTCATCCAAGCACTTTGGGACCTTGTTTTGAGGGGCTGTATAAATAGTTTATTACCATTTTACCTGTGTTCCTTTAAGAATGATTTCACTCTGGTCAGACCCTACAGTATTAACATGTCATCATAAGCAGATTTTTGTTGCCACCTGGGAGCACAGCGCCACCTACTGGTCTGATGCAAAGTCACATGTAATTATCCAAGGGGTGGAGAATAATATATCTTACTATCATCTACAGACAGACAGACAGAGAGAGAGGCTACCATATAATTTACAGTTCAAAGAGGATTTTATGAACTGCTTCAAAGGGTAGATAAGGTACAAAAATATACAAACATTGTGATTAAATATCATATTTCTGGAAAAATTCAAGTTTTCCCATTTCAGTTAAATGGTTAGTTTCTTTGTTCTCTTGTCAGTTTAGTGAGTGTGCAATAGAAACATTCATTGTGCTCCTACAATGCCTGTATGTCACAGTGTAAGCACTCCATCTCGTGTTACTGTTAATTTCGTACAACTGTAATTTTATTAACAGAAGGTGTCAGTCAGTGATGTAATGATTATAAAGGCTTTAAAATCGTGAGCTGAAATTTGAAATAATAATATAAATATAATATAATATGCTATTGTACAAATTATAGTAAGTACAAATAAAATGGCTCTGTGGTTTAATGGTTTAATGGTTTTAGATTTTATTGTTTTTTCTTTGGTGAGATGTCATTATAAGCCCTTGTATATCATGTCATCTTATCTTATTTAAATGTTGCACTTTTTAGGCAGACATTTAACTCATCATCTCATGCATGTTATTAGCCACCTGGGGACACTTTTTCTGGTTGACCTATCAAACTGAGTGACATAAGATGGACACTTTTCAGGACAAAACTTAAAATATAAGGCCTTCTGTTGTTTTCAGTTCTTTGAAATAACCCCACAATGCACCCTTTATTTACCACCACAGTATATAATCTCTCTGAAGTTACCACATTTCACCAGTAGACGTCTCTCCAACTCTACTCTGAGCTGCTGCACCACTTTTACTTATACACAGAGACACTATATAGTAGAGAGAGGTGGGACAGCGACAGAGTGGGGGATAGGGAGGGTAGGAGGGAGAGATGGAATGGCGGTCCAAGGGGAGAAGAAAAATTAACTAATTGCCAAATATTTGCTCTACAGTGAAGTTAACTCAGATTGCTTCCATTAGTAATGAGACCCATTTAAAAACCTCCGCCTCTCTCTCCATCTCCCCCGGCCTCCATTCATCCCTCTCTCTTTCCCGTGTTCCTCTCTTCCGTTCTCTGTTCTCTTCCCCTCACTCTATCACCACTCCCCCTTCATCTATCTTTCTCAGATATTTTCCATTAGTAATGAGTCACTTGCCGCCGTCTCCTGATATCACTGCACAGGAAAATGGGAGCCGAATTTGAGCGTTGAATTTTAAGTATGCTTTTTACTCATTAAGCATAAAAAGAGTAGTCACCGGTAATGGGGGTGTATGTGTGTGTGTGTCTGCATGTGTTGGGAGGAATATGATAAAGGAAATTTAAATGAGATCTTCATACAACTTTTCTCCCTGTCATGCTCTTTGTCTCTCTTCACAACCAAACACAGTGACACTGACACCACCTTGCTGAATTCCACAGGTTTCACCTTCTTTCTCTCTTTTGTAGTTTTCAAATTTCTTCAACTTGCTTTATTAGCATTGCATCATTTACCCGTTTGTCAAAAAAACCCAATATTAATAATGAATATGAAATAAAAATAGCCTTACATTTTGTCTCCCAATGTACCATCTGTCTCATTTTTCAATTTGGAACCACCATGAGATGCTGAAATGACTCAAGAAGCAGTTTCTTTTAAGGTTAGCTGACTAGAAGCTGTTAACACACTGTTAAAGTGACTAGGAAAACCTTAACTTCTTCCAAACTCTATTTAACATAGATTCTAAATGATGTTCTCAAAAGCTAGTCAGCTTTTAAGCCAACAAAGACAAATAGAAGAAGTCACATCCATGCTACACCCGTGTGGCTGTGAGGTGCCCTCAGTCATTGTGTCTCAAGACTGTGCTGACATCTTCATTTTCCCGTTACTTTTGTCAATCCTGGTCGGACAACTCTCACCTTTGTCGTTATTATTAGTTGAGGAAGGGTAGTGACCTTACATAGTCCCAATATAGGTCCACCCAACCTCAACCTGAGCAGAGGTCCAATCGGCTAGAAAGACCAAAACACCGGTGTAGGTATGAGCAGGGCCTTTAGAGGTCTACAGTTCCACGATATCTGGGCAAATTCCATTTGGCTTGTGATATGATTAAAAGCTAGTAAATGGACCTCATGTTCAGATAAATATTTTCCACAGGAAGAAGTTTTTCCGAAAAGATGCAACATTAATAGAGTAGAGGGGGTAGATGGGAGACAGGCTGGGGGGTTTGCTCACCCTGTGAGTGGTTATTTGTAGAGGCCGCTTACTGAAATAGTTACACTTGGGAGGAGTAAAGATGTTCGCACCTTAGAGAGATGCATTTACACCTTTTCAACATCTGGCTGGAATACATCTTAAACCCCCTCCCGAGGTGCTTTTAGCAATCAGGCTGATCAGTGCTTCTTGGATGCAATTGCACTTGGCTTTTTTGACATGTGACAGCTATCCGATCACTCCAAGACGCATGGAGTGTAAATGGGGACGAAAGGGAATGTTTGTGGGTGCTTTTTCTGTCCTCATTACAAATCTGTGCTCACTACACTGACTAAATTTGTATTTTCTGCCTCTACATTAAGCCAATAAAGTAGGAGCCTGCGGTGAGCCCAAACTCAGAAATCTTTGAGTGACATCAGAGAAACCATGTCTTCAGTCCCCGTCTGTCCTTCTGTTTGTCATTTTCTCTCAATCCATCTTCTCTCCTGTCAGCTCTTTCAGTCCGTCTCTCTCCCTCCATTTTTCTTTCTAGTAAGACTGTCGTCATGGTGGCTGAAGGCAGCTCTTTCTGCTCTGTCAGTTACAATAAGTGGATGTGTATGGTGTGTGTACTGTAGGTGTGTGTGTCCGTGGGAGTGCATGCGTGCAACATAGATGCATCAACCCATTACCTTGGGTCACTGCAGGGTGAGAGCACAGCCTAATTCAATCACACACACAGTGCATGAAATCAAGCTTTGATAACTTAGTGCTAACTTAGGATAACTTGTGCTTTGTTTAGGCTGTCATGTTGTGTTCAGGAGCCCAAATGTGACCCTGTTAGCTTCCAGGCTTCAGGACAGGAGGCACTGGAACAATCTGCTGGCAGTTAGTGAACTTTTAAGAAAGTAGCCTGGGTGCTGCTCCTATAGAGGTCAGCGTATTATATTGTTATATGAGCACTGGAGAGTACTTCTTAATTGAAAGAAGAGTAAAGAATGGCACTGATCGGCACTGATCTATTTTCCAGGTTAAAGCCATTATCTCTTCCTCATTACCTTTAAATCTATACTGATCACAGAGAAGGAGATGTAGATAAAGAGATGCAGACAAGAAGGAGTTTTAAGCTTTGGGACAACTGCAGTTAATGTATATTGCTAAATTGAAAAAGCATGAAGAAAGCAAGACAAGTAATAGGTAGAGACAGAAAGGAGACCACCTCATGAGACATACATAGATACATATAAACACACACCTACATGGACAGTTTCCCGACCTCTACCTTAATACAAAAGAAATCCCACACATTTTGCAAGATTTTAGGGAGATCTCGTTTTATGCTGTCGCAGCAGTCACACAGAAAACACATTATGCTGCAACATGTACTAAACTTATAGCTGCTTCAAGTTCCAGCTACTCCAGTATTCCACTGTGTGTTCCTTTATATGTGTGTAAGTCTCAAATACAGGACCAATCCCATTACACTTAATGCCTCCCATGAGGGGAGTGTATGGGTTTCTGTGTGTATGCGTCAGGTCCGATCGCACATATATGCAGAATATGCTCTATAGTACTGCTGCCTATTGCTTTAGTATAAAGCTTTGTATGCACGTGCACACACACACACACACACACACACAATTTCCTGTGTTCATCTAGGTAATTACAGTGTGAAGTAATGACGACCTTACATTTCCCATCCTGACCCCCTCTGGTGTGTATGTCTGTGTGATCCTGTGTGTGTGCTTGTGCCTGTGTGTGAGAGTCCCTAGGGTGCTAGTTAAGTATAGTAAGATAGATTTGACACCCAAGGCATTCAGCACGAGTCAGACAGGGAGATAGAAAGACCTGTTTTTAGTCCTGCTCTCTCTCCTTCTCCCTGTGTCTCTTCTTTTCTCTTTTTCTCTTCACTTTGTCTCTCCCAATTTTCTCGTACACCCCTTACCTTCCCTATCTTTATCTCTCAGTCTGCATCTATTACCTCTCCCTTGTTCTCTATTTTCTTGCCTCGTTCTGTCTCCCACTGTTTCTGCGCCTGTTTATCTCTTTCCACATTCCCCCAATTCTCCTTGTCTCTGCTTTTCTGCATTACATACATTTATTTCATACAGCGGGCATTCATGCGGCCCTCTTTTCCACCGAGATTTGAGGTAACAGAGACAATTCATCTCCTCCTCCAGCGCTGTTTGGTTATTCTCTGTTTCTCTCTCTTTCTCCGGGTTGTGGCCTCTGACTCAAACAGGCCCGTTCTTTCTGCTCATCAGATGGAAAGCAAGATACCGCAGGACTGCTGCAAATGTTTTACAAAGGCAGCTATGCCCTCATGCATTTTTCAGCTGAATATTTAAAGCGGTAAGTATGAGTTCCTGTTTTTTTATTTTGTCTCCATCTGTGGTGCTCAACATTCCTTTTACTGACCACTCTTTCTGGAGATCACCTGTCAATCAAACAGTCTCCAGTTCTGTCAAATATTTCCTCTTGTATTTTCTCTTGATCCGTCTATGAGATGTGGTACAATATTCTTTGTGTCATCTGTTTAAGAGCAGCTCCCCAAATGTTTAAAATTAAGCTTTGGAAGAGCTTTTACATCTTGCGCATTTCTTGATGACAGCACACATTTAGAGCCTTAATTATCTTGGAAGCTGTTCACATCCACAAATATTTACTGAGCCATAAAAGTAGCATCAGTTCCTGAGCTGTAGGGGTATTTCCTGTTAACAGAATCATAAAGAGAAGTGGAATATGTCCCAGGTAACTAGAGCATATATGGTTATATTTAGCAAGTCAAGGTAAACAAATGAAGCACTGCTTTTGGGAACAACACACTGTGGAATTGTCCAGATTTTTTTCTACTTGTTTACTGTGTATTTGACAGTAAATTATCTGTGAATAGAAGTGTATATTTATTTAGTTCATGTTTAACCTGTCTAGAGGAATAATTTGACATTTTGGGAAGTATGCTGATTTGTCTTCTTGCCAAAAGTTGGATAAAATGATTGATACCACTTTTATGTCTAAATGTGGAGCCACAGGGTATTAACTTAGCTAAGCATAAAGACTGGATGCAGGGGGATAATAGCTAGCCTCTGCCACACACACCTACAGTACACACACCATACACATCCACTGAAAAAATCTATTTCCAGAGGACCAACAGCTAGGTGGAGCGACTTAACATTTTTAATCTTACCATGTGCTAATTAGTGTACGTTATAGGTCATGGAACGCTAGGTGTTTCCGGTCTTTATGTTAAACTAAGATAACTGACTCATGACAAAGTGAGAGTATATTCTACAATTTCAAACATTCCCACAATGTGCTTTCAGACTTTTCGTACAATCGTTTGGTACTTGATTTACAGTATTTTAGGTAATGTTTTCATTCCATGGCTTTAACAGACCAAAGCTACATGCAGTAGTAGATAATAATGATTGACAACCCTACTGAACTAACTAACTTCAATCTTCCCTAAAAGAATTTGCTCTTCTATAATGTGTAAGTTAATTTTCTTCGACGGAATAGTTTTCTCTTCTTCAGTTGAGGCACTTCTTTAATTCCACCTAACTAAAATAGGAAGAAGGTAATGAAAGGGAAAGAGAGAGTAATCTACCTTTCTTCTGCAGTATAGCACTCCCACTGCGCTTCCCTATGTGGTTCTCCACATAACAGGTGTAGTTGGCCAGGTCTGCCTCCTCCACAGCATCAAACGTTAAGGATAGTTGCACCTCCTTCTCCCCTAAATGCTCCCTTAAAATCCTGGACAAACAGATAAAGAGAAGTCAGTGACAGACAGCAAGAACATATTTTCCCCAAAATGTTATTCCTTTGAAAACCTTTTAGGGAAGACAAGGAAAACATAAACATGTATGAAACATTAGATGGATTAGGTGGTGTTTTGTGCCAGATTACTCCTTACAAAATAACCTACGAGACTGGCAAATGAGAGAGGTAAAAAGGGGAGGAGAAGGAGTGAGAGAACGGAGAGTAAGTAAACATGTACTACTCCACCAAAAACTGCAAAAGGAGTAAAAGTATAAAAGGAGATAAAGCAAAAGGAAGAGAGGACAGGAGAAATGAGGAGTGGAGCATTGTGGAATACAGAGCAGATGAAAAAGGAGGACAGAGGGAGTAAGGAGGCATGTGTAGAAAACACTGGCGACAGCTGGAAAAAGCCTCTCTCCTTATGGTGAGGTCATATTCCTCTAAAAGCCTGCAAGGAGGAGGAAGAGAGGAGGTGGAGGAGGGGCAGACTGAACTGATGTTTGGGTCACGACATGCACCTTTAAGCCTGATTTCAGGTCAGATTCAGCCATAACCAGTGATATCTGAGATCAGACTAACTGTGCTGACATTGCAAATTCAGAACAGTCACATATGGTCCAGTAAGATTTTGTCTAATAGTGAAAACCAAAATGGTAATTTCATTTAATGTGTTCTCATTCATTTATTTTTAAATTTGATTGTTCTAGATTTTAACAAGTTGATTGATTTAATGGCCCAGTGCAAAACATTTAGGAGAATCTATTGGCAGAAATATTATATAATATGCACACGTATGTTTTCATCAGTGTATAACCACCTGAAAATAAGGTGTTTTCTCTAGAATTAGTTGTTTTTATCTACAGAGAGCGGATCCTCTTCTACGGAGGCTGCTATGTTGAATCGGCCATGTTTCTACAGTAGCCCAGAACAGACACACCAAGTCATATGGCCATATCTAGATTTCTGTTCATATTCATTGTTGTGATTAATATTGATCTTGTGTGGCTTTGAAACTATGCAAACACAATGCTATTCTTCTTGTTGTTAGTCAGTGGAAGTCAATTTGAATGTCATGTGCCTCAAGGTGGTAATTTTAAATGCACGGTGGTCAACACTTAGTATAAAAACCATGTTGTTCATTCTGTCTTGAAGTTGACATTCATTTTGTTGACATCATTTTATCACTGCTATGAAAGGTTTTAATTCTCTGTTGAGGGAACTTATTTCAGCAGTTGACCCATCACTAAGCCCTGCCAGCCATGTGTTACACGCACTGCATGTAAGCTGTTCCAAATGATATTTATTATTTATTTGTATAATTTTAGCCAATGACCAGGATTTTACTGGCTGAAATAACAAATATGTTGTCCATGAGGTGGTTGAAAATTCCATCTATGGAAAACCTTTGAATGTTTTTGGCTTTTTCATAAGAAAATAAGAAACCTGCAAAAGGGTCTTGATTGTGCATTTGATGGCTACTGTAGGCTTTGTGTGTGTTGTGTGATGACATATTGGAGACGTGACTGATGCTCAACAACAATGGCTGCTGATAGAGGTTAACTTAAATGTAATGTTCGTACGCCAAAAAGGTAATCGTCAACTTTTGTTACTGGAAAAGATGTTTTTGCTCTTCTCGACTGCTTTGGTAGAGCTTGTCGGATATTATATGGTTCATTGATTTAATTGGTTGAAGTTTGCCTGTGATAGATAATGATAGAAAGATGGCTCATCCAATCACCTGCCAAGTAATGTGCCTGCCCTTTTCCAAACTGCTTCCAATGGCGACTTCCCCCATGGTTCTGTGTAACAAACCATCTGGGGTTAGGTTAAACTCTTTGGATACAGAGCAGACCACTTCAACATGTGGAGAAATACAAAACTTGACAGACCTTCTGTCTGCAGAATCATAGAATCACCATAGCTGTGGTTGCTAAGCTGTAATTAGACAATCCTATAAGGGAGGAGTCAATTGCAATGACAGTTGACCATTTCATTTACCCCAAACCCCATGTTATCAACACAATCTATCCAGTAGTTCAGAGGGGAAGATTATTTTAAAAGCCAGTGTCTTGTGAAGTGAACTCAGTGTCAGCTTCTAATACTTGAGTAATCACAGCTTGAACCTTGAGGAAATTATCTTAGTCGGCAACAGAGACCAGAGAAAATGAGTGTGGGAGTGTGAACTAAGACAAATCTGGACAGGCTTTTGGAGAGTCATGTGGGCGATGACACCCAAGAAATGCTGTGCTTGAACACAAAAGGTTTTGTGTCTGCAGCCGACAATATTTTTTCTTATGTTAAACTGTAATCACAGTGCAGAGAGGTTTGATTTACCAGCAGGAAAGGAGCAGGATATGGCAGTGGTGGAAAAATCAGATCCACTGAAAAAATGGGGTATCAAAACGATCACAAGCTAAAATTACAGTACTGTACTACATGCCAAATATATACATTTTTATTTGCTGCATTACTACATATGTTGTAACAGGTGATGTTACATGTGTAAGTTCATTAAAATGTATCAGAAATGTGTCAGAAAACAGACTAGTCGGGACAGAATTGTATTATTCTTCCTCTTTATACAACATGTTGGTTTGACTCAGTTTTGACCAGGGCAGATTTTAAAACATGTGGGAGTTGGCACAGTTCAACAATGGCAATCATTTTTTGTTGATAATTCACCATGAAAAGAAACGTATCTGTCACTTGAGGCTTTTATCCAAGTGCTTGCATGCAAAGAATTTTGACACACACACTTTTAGCATGGGTGGTCGCTGTGGGAATTGAACTCCTAACCTTTTCAATAATAGTGCTTTTCTCTGCCAATTTATCAGCTGAGGAGCAGATAAAAAGCTGTGAAATCTTAATATATTAAATTATTTTAATAATTTTCCACGTTACAGCAAGAATTATGAGATTAAAAATGTCAGATAGACCTGAAGAAATACAACAAATGTCTTTCTCTTGCTCTCCTCCTTTTTTTGTTTTGAGTGTGTGCATCACTCTGATGTCTACCAGGGCCGACTATTAGAGGTCACAGTCAAAAGCAGTGACTTGCTAAAATCCTTAAAAACACATCACTTCCTCTCCCTTTTTCTAACCTTCCTTCCAATAACTCTCTATACCCACCCCCACCCATTGTAGACCTCCTTTCTTTCTCCTCTTATGTCCCCTCATATCTCTCTGATCTATGACTATAATGCTGTCTTGAAGTCTGCTATTAAACACACTCCTTTCATCCAGTAATCGATAATGATTTATTCTGCTCATCTTTCATTGTTTTTGTATAAAACTCAGCACCTGGTTGAGATAAAAAAGACTTAGCAATTATTATAATTCACACTTTGCTATTCTTTTTCAAAATGACCAACAACCTCCTTTCCTCCCACTCTGGTCATATCAGTACTCACATCCTCAACAGCATCACTGCGTTTTTTGACCATCAACCTCAACATTGTTTTTGCTGTCTGTAAACCAACCTCAGTATCAGTGGTGTTGTTAACCTGTTGAACTACACCTCTGGCACTGCACCTCTGTCCCAAGGGATCAGTACTTGGTCCTCTCCTGTTCATCCTCACCACGCTGCCACTCATCTTCATGGTCTCTACTTCCACTGATACGCAGATGATGTCCAGCTCTATATCCATCTAAATACACTGCAACTACAACTCACTCCACACTGACCCACTGCCTCACTACATCATCGATGCAAGCCAATTTCAAATGAACTGGCATCCACAAACTTGGAGTAATCTTCAAATACTCCACTTCCACAGTAGTGTTCTTTATAGTACATCCTCCAAAGTTCTTAAAGGATGAGGTTGGTAATTTCCAAAATGTTTTCTTATTATTAT